AACAGGAGCGATAGATTTATGAAGCTTGATGTATTTAATCTGCAGTGCTCAGCACACCTTTTACATGGAGCAACTCCTCATTGGTTTTTAAAAATGAAATACTACTTTAAATGGGACAAACCAACTAAACTTGGCATACAATTATAAATTACATCCATTTGGATTTTCAGCTAAAACCACTGCAAGTTGCTATTTCAAGAACCAATAAAATCCATGACTGTAAGACACTTCTTGAGTTGCACCTGTCTTACACACTGGAAAAGCACATTATTGAGCTTCAGGAATACTACCTCATCTGAACAAACTTCTGAACTCAGCATTAGATTGTAGTGATTAAAATTAATATCTTCCATTTGGGTGCAGAGACAATTTGATTCTGCCAATACAATCTCTTTTTAAATAGTGATGACTATTACTACTCTTTCACCCACTACCATCCTACCAACATAGAGAAAAAAACTTTGGTATAGGCACTATAGCCAATAGTAATACTTTATATAGGTAAGATACTTTCTGCCTTCCCTTCCAAGAAAAATAAAGCAATATATATGCAAACAGCAAATTAAACTGAATTAGCAACTAAACAAGATAAGCAGAGTAAGAGCTGGACCAGACAGCAATATGCAGTGCCTGGCTATCTTATTAAAGCCCACGCAAGACACAAAAGAGCTGCCAACTGTCAAAGGCTGGGTACAGTCTAAAGGCTTTCTAAAGGCTTCTCATAAAATCTCTCAGCTATTACAGAAACAGCTGCTGCTATACCAGCCACAGGTTTCTGTTTGTTAGCCAAGACAGATTGGAAATAGATTAACAGGTAAGAAGCAAAAGTGCCAGAAAAAGGGTCAATTATCAGACTGAGAGATGAGTAGAAGCAGCATACCTCATTCTATCAGTTCTAGAATGACCATACTCAAAGGTTGTTCAAAAGAACCGGTGAAGCTTTTCTTTGAAACATTGCTCTGCTTTCAAGGCTTAAGAGAGTCACAGGTTTTCTTTATAGATCAAAGTACTTAAGATCCACAGGCTAAGAGATGATGAACGTGTTCAGAAGAACAGAAGCTACACAGAGGTCAAGGATGATCCATACACAGCCCCTCCTCTTTAACCCCAAGCCACAAATCTGGATGACATCCCTAGAGCTTTCCTTCCTCAGACATTAGGTCAGGGTGTAGACAGAGCATCACAGCAGTTCTGTGTTTGTACCAGCCTTTTGCCAGCCCAAGACACAGGAAGCAGAGTAAGGCAAGGAAAAGCAGAGCTAAGGAGAAGAGAATGACAAGCCTGAGGCTGCATCTTAGGAAAATGGGACACAGCAACATAAATCAGGATATTGTGCCAAACCAACATCCCTTTTGAGCAAACTGTGACTGGGCTTTGCTCTCTGGCAGGGCACACTGGATGTCCCACAGCAGTCTGACACAGCAGGGCAGACCTAACAAGGAGGGACTACAGGGTGTTGGTAACCTTAGACTGGGAGTAAGATCTGCAGCCAGGAAGGGAAAATTCCTCTATGGGTTGGATATGTTCATAGCACTACATAGCTCATAACAGAAACGCTACTTCTGTGTTTCTAAAGTTTTAGTAAATCAAGGATTACACTGCAGCATATAAAATGGCAAATTAGGAAAACTGGAAAAACAGAAATCTCAATATTGATCAAGTTCCTGCAGCAAACCTGCAAAGAGAAATTCAACACAGGTTAAAATTAGGACTCTTTTGAGACAGCTGCAAACTTGGCCAGGCTTCTAAGATGAAATACTGTAAAACTGCATATCTTTAGAGACACCAAATGGAGGCACTGAAAATAACACCTAACTGAAATAAAACCAAAATTCTCCACAGAAAGAACTGATCCCTGTTTTGCAGTACTTTGTTCAAATTTATGGATACAGAACATGATTTGCCATTAAGTTTAATAGAAGACTGTTCACCTAAATTTACCACATAGCTTTGTCTTTCCTAGTATGACAATTTCTGAATAAAACAAAGTTGCATTCAATAACAGAGCATTGAAACTGATATTCATTAATAATTTCAGTGTATCAACTCCTCTAAAGATAGAGTGAATATTGTGATTTATAAAATGCAATTATAAGCCCACAGGACATTCTAAAAGTCTCATTTTATTCTCTTGTTTCCCAGGAGAGGGCAAAGAAATGGATTACAAACAGAAAAGATTAGCCTGAGACTCCCACTTTTCCTGAAGTATTATAGGACAAGACAAATCACCTCGCACTGCTTTGCCCTCTAACTATTCAGTAGTTTTTATAAGATAGGCAGAAGTGCAAAGCAATAATGAGATTTTCCTCCTTCAAAACAAATTTAATCCATCTTGTAGACTCCTCAAAATACAATGGATCACACAAACCACGGCCACCACTTGGACACTGTGTGCCTCTTGATAAAACTGTTTCATGAGACTGAGATGGGAAAGAGGATCTCACACCTACATTTCCACCTCATTTTGTACAGGTTTAAGAACCTGGATTGCTGTAGATTATCTGATGCAAGACAAATGCAGTGAAGAATCATGCCTTTATTTCTCAAAATTATTTATATTTAAGATGAACATACATGGCAATAATCTTTTTTTCAATATAAATCAGGCAGAAACAAATTAAACATCACTAGTGGACTGCCCTTGGGATTGATACTGGGTCTAGTGACCTGGATGATGGGGCAGAGCACACATCCAGTTTGCAGATAAAATAAAACTAGGACAAGTGGCTGATATCAGATGGTTGTGCCACCATTCTGAAGGATCTGGACAGGTTGGACAACTGCCGCCAACAGGAACCTCATGAACTTCTACAAACAGAAGTGCCAAGTCCTGCACCACACACTGGCAGCTGATGAACTAGAAAGTAGCTTTGCCAAAAATGACCTTGAGATGCTGGTAATAAGAAGTTGAACATGAGCCACAAATGTACTGTTGGAGAAAAAAAGGCCAACAGCATCCTGGGTTACATGAGGAAGAGCACTCAGCTGGTAAAGGGAGGTGATCCTTTCTCATTTATCAGCCCTGGTGAAAGGGTATCTCTTGTACTCTGTCCAGTACTGGAACTGGACTGGGCTTCCCACTACAAGAATGCCATGGACTTATTGGAGCAAGTCCAGGACAGGGCCATAAAGATTATTAAGGAATATCTTTACATAAAGGGATGCTGAGAGAGTTGAGATTGATCAGCCTGGACAAAGGATGGCTCAGGATTAGGGAAGTTGGCTCTTATTAAAGTGTATAAATAACTGATGGGAAGGAATGAAGAAGAAGGAGCCAGATTCTTCCTAACAGTGTACATGAACAGGACAAGAAACAACGGGCACAATTTAAATCCCATGCCATTCCATCACAACACAAAGAAACAGTTTGGATTTTTACTGTGACAGAGGTCAAATACTGCAAAAGATTGCCTACAGAGATTCTGGAGTCTCCATCTGCATAAACATTCAAAACACAACCGGACACAGTCTTGGACAATCTACTTTTGCTGACCCTACTTAAGCAGAAGCTTGAGCTACATGACCTTAAGAGATTCCCTCCAACCTAAACACTCCTGTTGGTCTGTGAAGATGATGCAAAAAGTTTGAGAATCTGTGGTGACAACTAAGTCACCAGGCTAGGAGGGTGTTTGTGCTCAGTCCTCTATTCTGCCAGACTTCTTTTTCACAAGCCAAAGCATTTATTGTAGTTATTAATTATCACGATCTGCCTAACTCAGATCCTGGAGGTACAAGCATATATGCAATTGAAAGAAATGCTCTTTCCATTACTCAGTATAATGAGGCATTCTGCTTCCTTTTATTTCCTCTGAAGTATCTGCCAATTTCCAAAATAGAATACAGAATCAGCTGGGTTGCAAGGTTATATCTTTATGGCACTTTTTATTTAAATGTGTGCATTTACTGTTGAGGAGAAGAAAGAAAGGACAAGACATATGGCTTTATGCATGTTTTCCACCACATTGCAGCCTGATGCATTTACCACACTGCAGCCTGATGCATTCAGATAGGAAAAAATACCCTACAGAGAGAAAAATAAAGAGAAGAAAATAAAGACACCAATAGTTGATGCTGTATGTGTAAGTCCAATTATTTATTAATTTATTAATTATTTATTTATTATGGGAATAGAGAAGGGGGCTTCACTCCTAAAATAGGTAAATTACATATTACTGCAACTAATATTTTCATTTTACTATCAGATGAAGAGCTACGTGCACAAAACTACGAAGAAATCATAAACAATTGTACAAGTTCTAGAAAGAAAAACCATAAATAACAGAGCATTTCATGGGCCACTGTCTTGTTTAACTACATCTGTGTTTTATTGCCTGCACTTGAAAAGTGTATTTATGGCCCATTAGGAAAAGGCACTGAAATTTGTGAGAAACCTAACAGGCTGTAATCCAATGCCTATGCCTGAAATATCTAGAAATGGTCCAAGTCTGGCTGTGTCCGTGGTTGAAATGTACACATTCCAACCTTTTATAGCTTCAAAATGCTCCATGCAGACCAGTTCCCAGAAAGATTTGTATTTTTCATGTGATTAACATCACTGTATTTTTGGCCATCTCTGAGACCATCAAGGTGTGCTGAGGTATGCTGCAATACAATAACACAGGAATGCACTGCTTATGGTGTTACATCAGTGAAGTAACAGAGCATCTGTGCCAGAGTCACCCTTTTCATTGGAATGGAAAGGATAAGAAAGCCCAGGGCTGCAGTACTGAGAATATGTGAAATTAAAGTATGAAATAAAGATGAAGGAAGATCAATGGAGACCTGGATACCAAGATTTAAAAATCATTGATATCACTGGAAAATTTTACAGTGACAACATCATATTGCATTTACTTATTTAATTAGCATATCACACCACCTTTCATACTTAAAAATAAAGCTCAGATGAATGTGGACAGACACCATGGAAAATCAAACTAACAATATAAAAATGGAACTTCTCAGCAAAGCATCAGACCATATGCAAACATTAAGTTTACCTCAGCTCCCAAACTGAGAGAGATTATTTCATCTTCAAAAGCAGAATGTGTATCAGTATGAGGGGGAATTCCTGTTAAAAAAAAATCAAAAACAAACAACAAAAAAATGAATACAGTAATGGTAATAATAATAACAACAACAGTAACAGAGTGCTATCTCCATTGGTAAGCTCTATTTCTACAGATGTCTGTATGGAAAGGGAATATAAACAAGGGAATTGCCTTCCAATTTGGGGCAACGGTCTTATGCCCAGATTAGATGGACACAATTAACCTAAGTGTCCTATATAATCAGTAAAAATACCTAGAAGATAGTACAGGTTACTCCAAGGCCTTGCTCACTCCTGGATGACTCCCTGCTGCAGAGAGAAGCTCAAGCACTTGGCTCTCCTTGCAGGCAGTGCAGCTCTCGGCAGCAACACTTACGGTACCTATGGCGATTTTGGGCTTTAGTTTATCCATGATAATATATTTCTTCCTCACTCCCTTCACAGAGGAGTAATTTCAAATCCCTCTTTCCTAAGCAAATGAGTGCATTAAGAATTTCAGCTTCAGCATTAGGACCTGCTACCTCAGAGGCAGGCACTGTTAGGATCAAGTGTGCCTCTGCTTTGCACTTCCTAGGCAAAGCAACATCACTGCTAGGCTATCCCCTGGGTAATGCATCTGTCAGTGTGTGTATGAGTGCATACACATAACTGAGAATTGCCAAAAGGACAGTCATTTTTAAGGGTTTGTTTAGATTTTTCTTTCACATCTGCTAATTGGAAAGAAACTGCCAATCCCTGCAGCTTGTGTCACACATTTTAATGCCAAATGCTAGAACAGCAGTGTGCATGCCACAGCAAGATCCCACCACATGGTGGGGAACGGCAGGCAGCAGTGGAGCAAGGGAGAACAGCAGACAGCTTGGGAGAACTGCAACTGCACCTTCCTGTGATCCACTACAGGCCGAGGCAGAGCCATTCCTATACCATCCAAACTGAAACATTTTTATTTGTTTATTAAAAATTCTACCAAAGTTCATTTTGGGCTCTGTAGAGAACTCTTAAGTTGAAGACAATTTTTTCTGATGTGTCAGTCAGCTCTACAAAGCACCCTTATTATACAGCAGATTTTACATCCAGATGTAAATATTCTGAATTCCATTAGTTTCAGCTAAAACAATACAAGTGTTTTATGAGACCAACATTTAATCTGACAGAAAATCAGTGAGACTTGAAAACCAAGGACAGATAGATACCTGTCTGCTACGGCTCATAACTTCGCCTCAGTACAAAGCACTGAGGCTCTGCTTCAAGAGGCACACTGAAGTCTGTGCAATTCACCGTGCAGCAGAACACTGATAGCTCTCCACACTGTCACCAATAATTCAACCAAGATCACACTGACCCACACTCCTCATTTGACGTATCTTATGTGTGGCCCCTCCAGCTTAGATACTCATAGCCATAACTCACTTTCTAAAATTTTAAGTATAATTCCCAGTGAAAAAATGGCTCAGATCCAGGATGCAGGCAGTATTAATCTGACTGTGCTCTGTGCTCATTCATATCCTAACGATTTGCACTTAAGAAAGGGTATTTTGCTTTGGGCTTGGGTTTTTGTTTGATTTTTCAAAAAAACCTGCTTCCATTCTTGATAGACATGTCCAATTCTAACTAATCTCCTCAGATGTCCCAGCCAGAAATATACAACTGTATCAGTTTAACAGATTGTCAGATACACAAACAAACAGCATCAGCTTTTCAGACCCTTCTTCAGCAGACGCTGTAATAGCTGCCAGACATTAATTTTGAGAGTAAAGCCATTGTTCTTTCTTCCTAAGGACAAATGAGATACTCACCCTGGAAAGCAAGCCAGATACTTAACCTTGATGACTAAGCTTAGCAAAAAGTACAGCACGTGATTTGTTCCCTGTCTCCGTCTCTCTGGGTGCCTCCCAGTGAACCCCAGCCAGTCCCGGGTCGGCAGCCCCGAAGTGACCGACAGCGGGGGGACACTCTCTGGTGCCCCGAGGGTACTGAGGGCGGCTAGGCTAGTCACCTTTGCAGCAGAAGAGACAAAGGAGACATCGGTGGAGGGTAAAAGGCCAACTCTCAAGCAGGGGCCAGTCCAAGGTTTACTTGGAGCTCCCCAGGGGGCCCCACTCCTCAGGGGTGCGCCGTGCTCAGAGTGAGACAAAGGAGTCTCGAGGTTACATTTAAAGGGGGGGAGGAAACCGAGGGTAGATACATTTGCTGACCAATAAAGACCCTCCAGGGATGCAGCCTTAGGGGATGGACATTTGGGATAGCGTATAACATCATCCTTGGGGGGCTGACCCCTGGCTTCGGGCTAATCACTCGACGGCTTTGACTGACAGATCTGGATAGAAGGGATGGGATGCTGAGTGACTGACAGAGAGCCAGGGCAGGGATTTGGGGGATGATCTCAACACAGGAGAATGGTTACACAGGTAGAGGAAGGGGGTACAAAAAGGGGTACATCATCTGGGGAGAATAAGGGGATACAAAATCAAAACTATTACAAAGTATTACAAAGTATAAAAGCACACTGCAACAGTTCCCTACAAGTGTGATTAGAAGCTTTTTTTCCTTCAGAAGCCTCCAGTTTGGGAAAAAATACAAAAATACAGTAACTCCTTACTTCTAGGATAAGGGAACATTGCTTGCATCATACTGAAGACTCCATATATCACATGCACTAACATTATATCATATGTACTAACAGCAGGAGAGTCTCAATTTCTTGGAGACTGTATGCACATTACAGGAAGCAATACAAGTTTGGAGCAAAAAAATGCACTTAACTAGAAGACCAAATATGACTATTTATTCCTATAGGTTTTACAGTTAGTTTTCAAATCATGACCTTGGACTCAAACACCATCATGTTCCATAACAGTGGTATCAAAACCTGCATTTCTAAATCTATGTTTCCATGTGCAGAAACCAGTATTAAGACTTTAGTTTTGACTCAAAGCATCTCTGGTCACAGAACTACACTAAGCAGGCGCTTAAATCCTGTTCCTACACCATTCCACAGTTAGATGCTACACTCTCCTGCTTCTTAGTGAAGTTGTACTGGTTTGGCTGTTATGTAGTTCATTTGCTCCACAGGTGCCTATACAGTGCTATGCTTTGGATTTGTGATGAAAACAGTGTAGATAATACATGGATGTTTCCCCTCTTTCTAAGCAGTGCTTACACAGCAAAGTCTCTAATGGTTCTCATGTTTCCCCATGAGCAAGTCAGCTGGGGGTGCACAAGGAGCTGGGAGGGCACACAGCTGGGACAACTGACCCCATGTGACCAAGAGAATATTCCACATGATCATATGACATTGTGATCAGTATTAACACTAAGGGTGACATTTATCAGGGATGTCATTACTCAGGGACTGGCTGAGCTGGGATTGGCTAGTAGCTGAGCATCACTTGTCTTCCTCTGTTTTGTTTGCTTTTTTTTTTAACTTACTAAACTGTCCTGCTTTCAAGCCATGAGTATCCTCACTTCCAATTGTCTTCTCTGCCTCAGTGAGGGGGGTGAGCAGGCAGCTGCATGGTGCTTAGTTATCTACCAGAGCTAAACCACTATGTAAAAGAAAGAGTTCAAAATTTTTGAGGGACAAATGAACTTACCTTGTCCAGGTTCATACTGATTTACAGTCAGTTGATCAGGTTTATGTTTGATATATCCCTGCTTTAAGCACTTCTCCAAGAATGGGTTGCAAATTTCAGGAAGACCTAGTTATAGAAAGAGAACTGTAAACAAGACAGGACAGCTTTTTACAATAAATATAACTAGGAAATACACAGAAGTAGTTTCATATACATGCAAATCCATCTTTAATGATGATTACACTGCATCTGCTGCTAACACACACATCAGAACTGAGGCCCTAAACTTCAAGTCCAATACTCTTGAAGATCTGAAAATTACAAAGGCCATTCTTCCAAGGCCTCTGCATTCAGAAACAGATTACTCCTTACAAATGCGAACTGAAGTATCTCTACACATAAATCAAACCACATCAAATCAGAGGAAAGGTTTTTACCAATTACAATAAAGAAGATGCAGTCAAAATTATAATGCAGAGTCAGTTGTGCAGAGACCTCTCTAAAAACTTTATTCCCTGGAAATCTGTTATTGAATTACATCAAATATCACCAAAATATCTGCTGAAGTTAAGCTGGTCTTGAAACAGGAATGGAAGGCACAGTCCTCCACTGAAGCTTTGGTTTGCTACTTAACCTGAGGACTTGATTGAAAAATTCTGCTGAAGGTAACACCAACAAACATGTTACTACTATCCCTTCCATGAATCTACTGATTTTTATTCTTGTTTTCTCCCAAGAAGTGTTTATGCTTTTCTCACACATAAAACAGTCTATGAGATTAGAAAACAATTCACATATCAATCTCCTTACAATGATATAGCTTCACAGTTAAAATCTGAAGATAACCAGAATCCTTCTGTTGCATGCCACATCCACCCCAGTACACATGCACCACCTTTAAACACCTTCAAGTTTTACAAAAATTTAACTCTCCTATTTTACTATTTTTAAATCTACAAGATGACTCACTTGCTTTGCTCTGACTCACAGCTTTCAACTACCAATATGAGTTATTGAAACCTTTACAAAATTGCTTTCAGAGCAAAGGAAATTTTATTTCAGTGTGCAACCAGCAAGCTTCAAGCTGGTTGAGATAAATATATACAGCAACATACGTCACATCCCCCAAATAAATTAATATGCAATTCGTAACACAATTGTTTTATGGAACAAAAAGCTAAAAAGGAGTGACAATTACAATCCAAAAAGTCTTAGTTGACCAGAGCTCAACAAAGGGCAGCAACCTCTGGCTCCAAGTGACTGGACAACAAGCTTAAACCACTAACAATAATTTGGAATGAATCTCAAAATTCAAAAGCACTTTTGTGTGTGCTTAAAATACAGCAAAGGCTCTCCTTTAACCAGACTCTCACAGCCATAACTCAGCAAGGCTTAAAGGCTTTATATAATGGTTCAAACATTGGTGCAAAATAAGCACAGTTTAATAGGGAAGTTCTCACCTCCAGGTAATGGCTTGTCTTTATCAACATTATTGTTATCATAGTGAAACTCATATCCGAAATGCTTTACTCTTCTATGCTTTAAAGTCTTCTGGGCTGTAAAAACACATAACTTTAAAGTAAGATTAGACTACATAAGACTGCATGAAACATTGCAGGCAATTTACCATGTTTCCCTATTCCATCCTACCTGTTAAGCCTAAGCGTTCTTTAATTAGCCAGTTAACCATTGTATGTGACCCTCATTCTTCACGCACACCCTTCTGCTTATTATCTTTTGTAATTCATTAAGCATCACATTCACTGCTGTTCTGAGTCAAAGGGATGGTGGTTTTGTATATGCAAGAAGCAGGGAATACCAATTTTTTTGAGCCATGCTTATTGCATCTTTTTCTTGCCCTGATCTCTGAATTTACACCTGATGAATACCCTACAGATACATCAAGATCCATCATTCTCATTAATCAGCAAGTTACACATTAGCTAAGGTCAGCATAACCTTTCGTGTTGCTCCACGGAACAAATTTACACAGGAACTTTGAAGTGATTTCCAATAATTCATTTATTGAAGGATTTAACTCCAAAAGCTCAAGGAAAAGCATCCAGAATGTATGCCTAAGTTATTTTTTTCACATAAAAGACACAGCTCTTCAATTGGACACCAAAATACAAACAGTCTTGTACTTGGCACAAGACACATAAAGAAGTCTTTAATTGTCTCCGGATGCAGGTTTGTTATTCAAGTAAATCCATTCTAGCATATCAATTCAGATCACTTGTCCCAAGGAACTGATCACTTTCAGTACAAGACCCAATTTCTAAAATGCTAAGAGCAGCCACAGATTCATTTCTGACAATACATTTCCCGAGATGCAGACTTTCTGTAACCTGAAACTGCAGGAAAAAAAACAGCATAAAAGTACAGAATGCCTAGATTCCTATAGTTGTACCCACCATTCTGAGTATCTTCATCTCCTTTCCAGTCAATACTCTCCAACATCCTCCTTTCTTCCTCTGGAGAAATAATCTTTTCAATTACCATTAAGCCTGGAGGCAAGCTTGTAGGAACAGCCTTTTGCAAGGAAACTGAGGTATATGAAAAAAAGAGAATTTTGTTACTCTTTGGAGAAATAAAACCTGTGTTCCCTACGGAGATATAATTATTTTGTATGAGAACATAGCACAGCTGTAGAAATGTTTAGTGATACAATGGAGCCCTCACTGTGGTCTTATTTGGAGAAAGAACAATCCCTTTTTGTCATGACAAAACAGGGTAAGTAAGGCCCGAGTTTTGCATCATTGAAGCGCTTTCTAAAATTTTACTGCGTAAGACAAACAAGACTTTACACTATTCAAACACAAAGCAGCTTGTGGCTTTCCTGTACAACAAGACTTTACACTACCCAAACAAAAAACTTCTTGTGGCTTTCCTGTAAAAATAATGGTAAACACAATTTCCCAATCACTTCAGGTTCTACCTGAATTTCATTTTAAATTTGTAGAATTTTAGTGAGTTATCACATCAGCAGATTGCTTCCACCAACAGAGAGTACTCTGTAATCAAATATGTACAAATATGGAGTACAGAACAACAGGTATAGGTGAAAGTAAAACATCACTGATGTTGGGACATTCAGTTTGCTATCCTAAGAGTTCAAAAAAAGCTATCTGCTAGCAGAATGTACAGACCAACACCAGGAACCCTTTTTGCTAGGCACTATCAAAGCTCACAGAAAGAGCAACAGTTCTTGTAATAAATAGCTTATAATCAGCCAAAAACTGGGGAAAAAAAATACTGACGGGAAGGGGAAACAAAACGACAGAAATTTCATTGTGCATATTTTTCTTCCTGGAGCTGAGATAGGAGATTGCAAAACTAGGGTCACACAAGAAATCCAATGAACTGTCCAGAGATTCTCCAGGCTCCTTAATCACAAAACCTTCATGTGCAGTATTGAATGGTCAGGAAATTACTCAGACCTTTATTCCCCTTTTGGTTCCAAGTAATAGAGTTGAAATTAGAGTATCCTAACCTGGAATACAAGGAGCAAAGATTATTTTATGTCCTGAATCTCAGATTCTAGCTTTCATTCTCTGTGTCTGCTTAGGAAAACTAGTGTGCTTTTACCTATATTTACAACCCAGGAAGTAAAAGCAAAAGGAAGCAGTATGCAGGAAGCTGGATATATAGGAGAGCAAAAAAACTGTACCTTTTTCCACAAAATTAATATATAGAACAATGTTTTGGTCACAGTCTTCCAATGTTACTTCCTTTCCATTAAGGGAATTAAAGGCTTTCTTGGCTTCTTCTGTTGTTCTGTATTTCACAAATGAGTATGGTTTATTTGGTGGCATTAAGAGTGTTTCCATTGCTCCATATTCTTCTAGTATTCTGAGCAATTGCTGTCTACTCATCCCATTACCAAGACCAGCATTGGCAATAACCAGGCTCTAATTGGAAAAGAACGAAAAAACAAAACATAAAGAATTTGTGACTATCGTTGGTTCATTTGAAACTAACATTTTACCAGGAGAACAGCACTATAAAGAAAAATTAAATCCATGAGCACTCTTTTATGTATTCTGCACAAGATATTTACATTTCCACGAGCTTGTTATACAAGGCTAATGCAACCTTTGCTTGCCCAGCACATGGTGTGGCTGAAAGCCTTGCAACCTCTATCAGAAACACCTCCTCAGTTAATGCACACTTTGAAGTGGCATGTGTGTGACAAGTGTACTGCAAGCAAACAGTGGCACTGGCACACATAATTTTGGAGGTTTCTGGAACAGCTGGGAAAAGTGTTCAATTAATTCAAACAACAGCATTTCATTTCTCTAAAAAAAACCCAGAAAATTAGGTTTAGAACTGAAGAGGAGGGTCATTAAAAATAAAATTATACACTGAGCACTGCCGTGATTATGCCTATTGTAAAGGTTCTGTTAACATCTCTTCTAAGTGCTGCATTAGACTGTCTGCCAAGGATCATATTTTTCAAGATTTACCTCATTATTAATTACTGCTATTTTCTGGAAGGTTATTGATGAAGAGACCCATGTGTGTAAAGGACATACAGAGGTTCAAACCACTCCTTTCACTTAATCTACAAAGACCCCACTACACAATTGCTGCAGCACATGCAGCAACTGATGATGTAATTTAGAGATAGTCAGACTCTTGCACAAAGCCTGGAAGTATTTTCTACATTCCTGACACAAGTTTACCACTAGCACTATGATTCTGTTTCACATATTACTTATTCAAATGTTCTGTCACTAATAAGGACCTTGCTGGACCCCAAAATTACTCTTTGGATAGACTAGATGGATCATTTGGTACCTGGCACAGTTTCAAGGGGAACAAGTCTCAAATTACAGACCCATTTCCAAGCAACACTAGAAAAACACAGTCTTTGTTCTAAAGAGTTTACAATATAAACAAGATTGCTGAGTCATTAACATCTGTCCATAGTTTGTCTGAAATCTGAGCAAAAATTAAAGCAAATTTTATTACAAAAATGTATAAAGATCTAACTGATGTTTCCATATTTGAATGGCAAGAATTTTCAGGATCAGGATGAACAAGTAAATGGGTAAATGGGTAAACAGGGTAATATGATACTGCTCTACAGTGTTTCAAGCCATTTGTACTTCCTCAAAAATGAGAGAGGGAAATTAGAAACTCTAACTTCCCTTTCTGTCTGCAAGTTCCTGTCACTTTTTGCTACATCAGTATCTGTGAGGTCATTCTCTCATCTGCTATAACTCTAGTGTGGCAGAACACAACAAATCAAAAATCTAAGTAGCTTTCTGCTAGATCTCTTTTCTGCAAAGAAAGAGAAAGCTGTCCCCATTTAAATAGCTCCAAGTCAGCCAACCAGCTCAATTCCCACAGAACCACAGCCTTAAATGTTTAGAGGAAAAAAACAACACGGAAAAGATTTCCCAGATAGACATGTTTTAAACGGGGAGCTTAGATGAGACCAATTACACTTGACAGAGAACCATGGAAGATATAAAGGCACGAAAGTTAAAAGCCTGAGGAAAATAAAAGAAACCACAGAGAAAGAGAATAAAAGTTTATCTACTTCAATAGCATTTCCAATGCTTCCTCCTCCTCCTCAACCCAAGCAACTACTGTTTCAGGTTAAAAAAAACTTATCCAAAGGCCAAAGTCTCTCCATAGACCCTGAACTGCTGAAGTACAGTTCTGCTTTGAAATCAAAGAAGCACAGAAAATCCTCAATCTTGGGAAGTCCATTTTTAAAAACTGCATTTTACACAAGACACATGTGAGAAGAGAACACAGATAAGCAGCATTTTAACACTACCATCAAAATCACAACTACCAGTCACCTGTGTGGCATGGGAGACGCACTTGATGCCCTCATGTCTCATCAATGTATGCTGAGCTCTGACCTGCTTCCTCAATACCTTCTTCTTAATTTTCTGGACTTTCAAATTATCTTCACTGGTTTTAGCTTCCATACTGGTGTTCTGGAAAGCAGAAATAACAACGCATAGTGAGTGTCCTACTTGAAAAGGATCTCTCCCAAAAATAAAGCTTTAAAAAATTGCTATGATGCTTGATTTCAGTTTCCATTTTTCTCTTCCTCTTCACTCCTTTATTCACATTCACAGTATCACTAGATCCATTTGTGGGTTTTAACCTGTCTGCCCCTCCTGTTTTCATACAGTAATTTGAGCTGATTTCCTTCTCTCTACAGTCTCTCCAGAGCAGAACATGAGAAAAGAATTATGTGTGAAACTGACATGAGATTCGTATTGTCTCAGCTTCTCAGTTATTCTCATGCCTCACCAAATGCTTCAGCTGGAGATTAAATGTTTGGCTCCTTTAACCTAATTGCAATCAAGTGTGACATTTGGCCAAACTTGCCTTTCTTGAGAGTAGAAAAATGTGTGCAGTACTTACACGTCCTAGAGCAAGCAACTAGGATGCTCCATGTATCATTTACCGCATCTCCCAAACTTAATGAAAATCAGATTCCTGTTGTGCGAAGGAAAAGAAAACTGTGTACATACATACACACATATATATATATGTATGTATGTATGTATGTATTAAATACTGAATTTCATAGCAACACAGAATTTGCCAACCAGTGAGTACTTAAAGGTCACTGGTATTCTCCAGGTTTTGCTGCATCTTTTGCCACTTTTGGTCATATAGCACCTTCCCACATTTCTTTAAGCCTATATTCTTTTCCTTTATTTTTTTTAATTCCTTCAAATCCAAGGGAGGAGTCCAGATCTCACGTATGATTACGACAAAGCTCTCAGACATTGATGCAGTTTGACTTTATCTCTCCCTATAACATAACCCCTTACCTGTATTTTAGAGTATCTTCTCTTCTTTGCCAAAAATCCTAACAGTATAGCTGGACAATCCAATTGCAACTGTCTGTCCTATTCCATTCTTTTATCATCACCAACCTGGCAACAATCCTTCCATCTTCTGTTCCTGTCAAAAAAATAGTTTTGTTTCAGTTATTTTTAAGGGAAAAAAACAAAGCAAAACTAGGTCAATCTCCCCATATGTAATTATTTAACTCTGTCCACTGCCCCAACAGTCACTCATCCACTTGCATGCCTTCTGGCTTGCATGACTGCAGAGCTGCTTCCCAGTACCTAAACTGCAGACACAACCATGATAATATGAAAATGTACCACAAAAAATGGTAAAAAAATGGTAAAAAACCCCTCATATTAGTATTTGCTACAACTTTGTGTTGAATGACTTGGCAAAAAAATTTTTAAACAAGCACTGATATGCTAGTAAAATTGTTATAAAACATTGAAGTGTTGCACAGGAGCTGTATGTATTCCCTGTGATTGCTGCAGCATTACCATCATCAACCTGCACAACTTTTAGCTGCACTGCACAAGCAAAATCAAAAATCTTTAAAGAGAATCAGAATGACAAAGGCACTCTGTGGCAATAAAGGATTCTAATCCTCCAAAAAGGAGCAGGATCAGTGCTGCCAAAGAACACTCAGTCTTTTGGCTCTTCCTTTCCACTTACTAGTTCATCCTCCTACCATTCCTCTTCCATTCTCAAACACAATTTTACATTGGTCTTAAATTAACTGAAACCCTTGTCAACAACACTTTCCAGCACACATGGCAAGTTACTGGCACGGTGGGCATCAACAGCTCTCTCCTGATATGGTTTCAGATGCCTGCTAACAAGTTTGAGGTTGCACATGCAAGGCCGTAACAGTTTGAACCCAGACGTCCTAGCATTATTCAAGTTTTTACACGTCTGACCACATAAAGATCACATTTATATCTCAGCCTGACCAAAGGGAAAAAAAAGTAAAAACCAAAAAACACTTAATAAATTACTCAGCACCAAAATCCATTCTACCACCATTAGACTCTTGGCATTTCCTAGGATCTCTTAGAGAGAATTCAATCACAACCATGCTCACATGCAGTGGAGGCAAGATGCCTAAGACAAAAATCTCACAAGTAACAAAACTGAAACAGGGCAGAGTGTCAGAAAAAGGAGAAGACTACTACAACAATTATTTCACGTGACGTCAGAAATGAAGTGTAGAGGCTGAAAATATCAATGGGTTATGGAATCAATCTTGATCTCTGCAAAATAAGTTTTATTACAGATGTGTAGGAACTGTCTGCCATTTCCCTTTAAAGCAACAGTGTTCATTAGGGGCTTTTTGCCTATTTTATACTCTGATTTTTTCCCTTCCCTTCCTCAAATTCTTGGTACCTTCTTAAATAATCATTTTCCCTTCCTAATGGCACACTTGCAAACAGGCCACAGCTCTTTATTTGAAAACATTCTCCCTTCTGAAGACAAATAGCTCAAAACAGTTCAAAGTAAGATTCTTCACTTAATCAACAAAGTGTTAAAAACACAGAGAGCAATGGTCCTCTTAACCTTCATTAGTTAAATACGATCAAAAAATCTCAAACTTACTTAAACCAAAAAAAAGCACAGTGAGACACACACACACAAAAAACAAACAAAAAAACTCCACACTAAAAAAACAACACCCAAAATCATAAGATAATTAGAAACCAAGGTAAATGAGAGAGCAAAAATAAAAGTCTCATGAAAAGAAGCACAAAAAGTTTTTATTAAGTAAATTCTCCTAAGTGCATCTAATGGGTTACCCTTACCAAGAGTCAGATGACTTGCAGGCTCCTTCAGGAAGCCTGCTATGACCAAGCTGTACAATTATAAGATTACACAGAATCAAAAAATCATTTAGGTTAAAAAAGACCTGTAAGGCTGAGTTCAACTGTTAATCCAGAACTGCCAAGTCTACCACTAAACCCTACATCCCTAAGCATCACCATCTACACAATTGGCTCCAAAAGGCTTGGCCTTTTGCCACACCTTTTGCCACCTTATTTGGCACACACAGATGAACAAAGGCCCACATCTTTACAGCCTACACATGCACAGGGTCCTCTGGGATGGTGCCAGGCAATCCCAAACTACTCCATAGGAAAGTGACACATCTTTGGCTTGGTGAGTTTACAGAAAGAGAGCGAAAATACAGGACAGGCTAATACTTTGGAACCAGGCAAATTGGATTTTGATGGAAAAACATGGAGGCTATGCACATCACCCATAGCAGTCAGAGCACTGTCATGCAGCCTGCAGAACAGAGGACTTTAAACTGAAAGGGTCAGGCCTCTCCCATAACATCTACACCTCTACATATTGAAAGACTTCACCTGATCTCTGGGGAAAGCACTTCTGAGTTTAGTCAGGCCTTCAGTCAGGTCCTCACAAACGCCCACATTCTCCAGGCAAAAGAAGTCAAGCCGCAATATTTGTTAAACTAGCACAGAAACTGAAGCTGAAAGACTACTTTTTATCCTTTCATAACAACTGAACAAGGGACAGCTGAGGTGTGACTCAGCTGTCTAAACAGCATGCAGAGATGACCTAGCCCACAACATTCAGCCTCTAACCTGCTACTCAAGAAGCTGAAGACCTTCCTGATGTGCTGTATCATGCTTGCCAGCAACACTTTGGTGCCTGCAGCTTCTGAAAGCATCTTGAACAGTAATACCTGCACAGCTGAGACAGCAGAATATTCCCTTGGTCTCTGTCTGAACCAGGTCTAAACTCGGTGTCTTGTCTGTTGTGTCATTACTGTTATAGATACATATTATAATATTGGCTTTCCATAAATATTAAAATTAATACTTTACTAATATTAAAATTAATAATTAATTATGTTGGAAAGTTATGCTGTATTAATCTCTTTTAAGTAGTGTGGTAAATATAGTTTTTAGGTGATAGCATAATATAGAAACTATGTGATACAAGATACTTTTTGTAACTAGCTCAAGGAATGGGAAAGATAATCAAGAAATTTTTCACATTATCCTATCTGGATAGAGATAACAGCAACAGACACCAAGATCCCAAGAGAAGAATTACTGCTTCCTTATCAGGAAAGCTCAGACTTCAAGGAACCAAGAAGACTGATTTACAATATGGGGGGGGGGAAGGTAAAATTAAGCAGAACCACCCTAGTTTTAAAGGAATGTTTGAATAATGTATGAGATATATGAATATGCAATAGGCTATTGCTTTTAAGGGGTAATCCTTTGTTAGCAAGGTGTGTCTTTTGGTGGAGTGCCAGGTACCCGGAAGTCCGTAATTCTTTGCTTTTTATTGTCTCTTATTGTCCTAATTTTTATTACTATTTTCACTACAATTTTCATTACTATTAAACTTTTAAAAATTTTAACAAAAGTGAATGGCACTTTTCACAATTACCAGTGGCTCAATTAGGCAGGCACAGAAACCAAGTCTGCCCTGATTTCTGAATAAAGGAATCACACTCAACTGTATAGAAGTAGGAAACTTCATTTGCTAGGATCCCACACCTCCTTTAGAAAGGCCAACATGACTGCAGAAGAAAAAAGGTTAATCCACTGTTCAATTAATTACTGTTACCACCTAGTTTTACAATAAGTATTTTTGAAAATTATCTCCTGAAAATACACACCGAAAACGGTTTCCCCTTGCAACATGAGCTAAGGTTACACGCACATTACAAAACTGGCCTGAAGTTACTACAGAGGCTAATGTAAAGCTGTAATGCAATGCACGAAGCTCGTTTGCTGTAGAAGCCGCTTCCGAAAACTATTTTTCAGTACCTGGCGGCCGGGCAGAGCAGAGCGGCGGCTGTCGGCAGAGGGAGCGCCGCGATCAGGGATAAGCTGGGATCTTTGTTACTCACTTTAGGCTTGGTTTTGTGCCACAGACACACCACAACAAAAATATAAGGACACAGTATTCACATAAACATCCGGGGGAAAGAGTACATTCGGGAGGCCCTCAGGCGAGATTTAAGAGCCTGAAGGCAGCCGCACATCCAGGCACCGGCACGTCCCCGCGGCTATCCCATCCCACCTCTGCCAGGCACCGGCATGTCCCCGCGGCTGTCCCATCCCACCTCTGCCAGGCACAGCCAGCACCAAACCTCCCTCCCACCGACACCCCGCAAACCCCCGGCTCTGGGCACTCGCCGCAAACAGCAACGACAACAGGAATAACCACAGGAGCGCGTCTTAGAATCACAGAATATTAAGGGTTTGAATAGACCCTAAAGATCAACCAGTCCTAACCCTGGGTCATGGGCAGGGACGCGTCCTACTAGACCAGGTTTCTCAAAGCTTTGAACACTGCCAGGATTGGGGCACCCACAGCCTCCCTGGGCAACTTGTTCCAGGGCCTCACCACCCTCACAGCAGCATCCCTTCTGCTCTGCCCTGAGCACACACAGGGGAGGCTATAAAAGCTATGAGGCAGACGTAGGGGCTGACTTGGCCTTCTCCCCCTTACACCACCTCGTCCAGACAGGGACAGAAATGGAGCCGGAGCCGCGGCCAGGCCGCCGCGGGCTCTGCTCCCCGCACAGGGCGGCACGGCGAGGACAGGAGGGGAGGAGAACCGGCAGCAGAGGCCACCTGCGCTCCCGCGGCTCCCCGTTCCCAGCCAGACCCTTGCGAGGCCCAGACGCTGCAGCCCCGGCCCGGCGGGCGCGTTTACCTGCAGGAAGCGGCCATGACGGGGCGGGCACCCGGCCCCGGCACCGCCCCCGCCGCGCCGTCGTGGCACCGGCCCGCCCCGCTGCCCGCGGAGCGCCGGCGTCGGGGGATTTAGCGACTGCAGATGTCTGTCGCTTTGTTACTGGTCACGGAAGCCAGGCTTTGAGATTCAACAAGGCCAAGTGCCAGGTCCTGCACTTGGATCACAACAACCCATGGCAGCGCCACAGGCTGGGGAAGGACCTGGATGTTGATCTAGAGCAGCTGAACGTGATCCAGGGTGTGCCCAGGTGGCGAAGAAAGCCGATGGCACCCTGGCCTGGATCAGCCCTGGTGTGGCAGCAGGAGCAGGGCAGTGACCGTCCCCCTGTACTCAGCATTGCCGAGGCCACAGCTCCAATGCTGTGCTCAGCTCTGGGCCCCTCACTGCAGGAAAGACATTGAGGGGCTGGAGCGTGTCCAGGGAAGGGCAACGGAGCTGGGGAAGGGTCTGGAGCACAAGTGCTGTGAGGAGCAGCTGAGGGAGCTGGGGGTGTTCAGCCTGGAGAAAAGGAGGCTCAGGGGGACCTCATCACTCTCTGCAGCTGCCTGACAGGAGGGTACAGATAGGTGGGGTCAGGCTCTTCTCCCAGGTAACAAGTGACAGGACAACAGGATGTAGTCTTAGACTGCAGGAGGTTCAGGTTGGACATCAGGAGATATTTCTTCATGAAAAGAGTGATGAGACCTTGGAACAGACTGCCCAGGGAGGTGGTAGAGTCCCTGGTGATGTTTAGGAAAAGACTGTTCATGGTACTTAATACCATGACCTATTTGACATGGTGGTGTTGGGTCAGAGGTTGGATTCATGATCTCCAAAGGTCTTTTCCAACCTAACTGGCTCTCTGGTTCTCTGGCAGCAGCCAGTTCTATGTGCCAAGATTTCCCAATGACCAGGCCAGGGCTCTCCCATGTGTCCTGGGGAGAGGGACGTCCATGCTGGATAGATCCAGGGCAGTCAGTGTGGCAAGGGGAAGGGGATGAGCAGCCCCCTACAACCAACTTACATGGACACACATTTACTGTCACTGTGCCACGTCCTGTTCCTGCTCACTCCATGCTTCCCAGCTCCGCTTGCCGCCAGGTCTTCCCCATGCCACCTTTTCTCCAAATAGAGCCAGCTCTTTGCCATCCTCTTCTCCATCCAGAGTCTCCCTCTGAGTCTTCACAGAACAAGTGCAATGATTTAACATTGTACATGCAGTGGGACACCATTCCTCAGCCCCACACCTGCCTCCTTTCCTTCATTGGTGCCTCCTCCAGCACAGGAGATCCAAAACCAGATGGGGAAAGCCACATCCACACTGCAAGTTAAAGACAGCTTCCACCAGGCCAGGATGGATTAAAGACAGCATCACAGCTTCTCCCAGGCTCAGGTGCTTACCAGAAGAGACCATCCCCTGGACAAGCTACCATCACAGCCAGCATTGATCACATTACCTTTGGCATGCCACAGCACTTGAGACAGAGAAAGATAAAACCGTGTCAGTCCAGACAAGACCATGGGAAGACCAAACCTCTGGTTGTACTTAAATATTCCTTTGCACCGCTCTTGATCTGGCCAGCAACCCCCCTGAGGCTGTGGAGAGAACCCACACTAGTGAGAGGCCTACTTCACCGAAAGGAAGCATCTCCACACCTCACTGACTCCCTGTGGAGAAAGTGGCCCCTTAAATCAGAGATACAGTGTGTAAGTTTTGCCTCATTTTTCTTCTTCATAGGCTAACCAAGCTGCATACTATACCCCTAGACATAACCTTTCTCCCTTCTTTATCCAAAATGCTGGAATTTAGGATTGCCTACCTTTTGTTTATCTGACAAATATTCTACTTCTCACTGCATCTTATTACTAAAGCCTTTTTTTCTCTCTATTTTTCCTCCCTCAGCCTCCTGTGGGTATGTAACCTTTGTCAGCATCAATGATGTATGGAATTCCCAGGCAGGTGGTATGTAAGGTGTGACTGATGAGCCTGTAAACCTGTAGACTGCAGCCAGCTCCTCAGGTTTTTTCCCAGATGCACACTCTGGAGGAACCTACCCATGTCTGTGCTTACCCAGAAGAAAACAACAAAAAAAATCCAACCAACCAAGAAACAACAACACTTTCCCTTGGAATGTATGCCATGCCCTATGCCAAGGACACAGCTGTTCCATGTACAGTAGGTAAAAGTACACTAAGCATGTGAGGCTGACAGGACATATCCACCAGCCTGTAATATTTGGGAGGTAGGAATTACTTGATCAGAAGGGTGGTTCCACTTCTTTTCCTCCACCACAGTCTGTGCTATTAAGTCACCTTCTGTCCTTGACCCACACAGTGAATAGCAAAGTGTTGTGATAGCACAGATCTTCTGCGTAAGTTTTCTTATATTTGAAGTATGACTATTTGATACCTACCTAGTAAGAGTACAGCATAGAACCTTTTTAACCTTTGTGAACACTAAGCCTTAGCATCATCTGCTCTTCTTGAGAGCCAGAATGAATGGAGAAAGAACAACCAGGCCACATCAACAGCTGCTGTCTCTATTAAAATATTCTCTGAGGCTCTCAGCCCTGGAAACCACCCAACCCTGAAAGCTGCTGAAAGGATGATGCTAATGATACCAGTTTGTAATTCATTATCAATTTGTTCTGACAAGTGGAAAATACCTGCCCAAAGGTTGTTTCTCTTAAGTGTCCACATTCCAGATTCTGTGCACTCTCCATTCTACGTGCATGTCTATGTGTGTTCTCCAGGGGAGAACAAACTCACTGTGAGGTTTTTTTCTTTTAAGTATCTCTGTATGATTAGCAGTGGTCAAGATTTTTTCATGCATATTGCAATAACACTTCCTCTGATAATGCATCAAGATTTTTCTTCTATAAACAACATTCTTACATAGGAAATTTCCACCATTTAAAACGAAAGCAGTTAAAGGCTGGTTAGGGTTT